GGTTTCGAACCAATGACATTCTGGTTACAAGGCAAGCTCGTAGACCATCGAACCACACTGGGACCAGAATCAGTGGCTAGCCAATGAACTCCAACTTCTACAAATTTGTGATTTTAGCACAACTATCAACCAGTTAGGATTCATGGGCCCTTGAGTCCGGTCTCAGTGGCTGAATGGTGGTCTACGAGCTCGCTGGCCTCATAACCAGAAGGTCCTGGGTGCGTAGTGATGATGATTTCAAAACTGGGATGAAACAGCTGTACAGTACTCTATAGTTTTCAGTGGTTCTCTAACTGATAACAATCCGTGGTCAAACACGTATATACAAATCTAATCCTTACAAACCAACTCTCGAAAATTAATTTAATGGTCGCTAGTGACTTGCTACAGGACGGAGTTTTCTGGAGTTCTAGTAAGAAGTCGTGACCAGTGAGATCCATCCAGTCAATTGTGAGGATGGAGTTCCCACAGATGACATTGGCTGGTGCCAGTCGCGCTAAAAGGATCACGAATTGGTAGAAGTTAGAATTCATGCGCTGACCATTGAATCGGGTCCCAGTGGCTGAATGGTGGTCTACGAGCTCGCTGGCCTTGTAACCAGAAGATCTTGGGTTCGAACTCTGGTGGTGGGTGCGTACAGCTGTCCAGTACTCCCTATGGCTGGTTTTCAATAGTTCTCTTCATTAGCTGATATCATTCCGTGTTCAAACTTGAAACACAGCAATTCCCTGGAAAACAAACTCGTGAATATACATATATATCTTCTTTCTTTCTAAATCCCTGTCATTATATGTAAAATTATTACTATTTATTTTTAGTAGCATTAACTTATAATTATTTTGTACTTGAATGAAACATACATTTCTTCAAAACTTTTCACATCTTGATTTTTGTTATATTAATTACAAGGTGTAAGATTGAAACAAAGAAATTTGTGTTTTAATAATGCAAATTTTTCTCTAATTTCATCGCATCTCTTCTTTCAATATAAATAAATAAGTGTTAATTATCCTTATTTCGTTCCTTTGTATTCTAAGTAGTGGAACATAAACCTTTGAGCTTTGACTTTGTAATTTCAGTAGCTGTAATGATGCTGCCTTTTTATTTTTATGCGGTGAGATTGCTAGCATCGCCTAGCTTAGTCTTTCTTCTTTGCTTTTATTTTTACCGGCTTTGTTGCAGACTGAATGAATTTTTAGGAGTGCATTGACAGCCAGGTAGAAGAAGCATCCAGAGAAGATAGGAATTCCTTCAGATGAACATAGAGAAAAGAGAGGTGATGATGAAGATTCCTTGTTAATAGCAACAGCAACAACAACAACAGACAACAATCAGCCAGCATGAATAGGAGAAATCTGAAAGAAGCAACCTCCTTCACCTATCTAACTACCTACCTGGGAAGCATCGTTTCAACTACAAGCGGACGGAACTGACGAGGATATCAAGGAGATGATCATCGGGAAAGCAAGGGAAGCTTTCATTTATCTCAAGTCTGTGTGGAGGTCAACACCACTTAGCACGAAAATGAAAATAAGAACCGTATTTTCAACTCCAATGTGAAGTCAATCAGTGCTACTATACGGATCAGAGACTTGGCGCCATGTCACGAAGGGCAATTCAAACACACTACAGACCTTCAATCACAACTGTTTTCGCTAAATACTTCTTAAGATGAGATGGCCAGAAAAGATTAGCAATAGGGATGGATTTCTGGGAGCGAACCAACCAAGAACCGATTGTGCAACAAATATACAGGAAGAAATGGAGGTGGATTGGCTTGGTCATACTCTGAGAAAACAATCGATCAAAAGAGCGACATCACACGCCACGCTATCCCTGTTGAGTGGAACCCGAATGGAAGCGGCGAGGTTGACATGGAGGAGGTCATGTGAAGAGTAGATGAAAGCAGTCGGGTGGACGTGGAGCTAGGTGATGAAAACGTTGGCAGAGAACAGAACGCCATGGAAACGTGCGGATGAAGCTATATGTTCCTCTAGGAACTAAAGGAAATAATAAGAAATAATAATCCATGGCCAAGGATTGAATCGTGAACCATCGATGCTATTTCAGTAGGTAGATAAACCGAATCACTTCCCATAGCTACACAATCTTCTTCATATTTAACAAAGAATTCATAAGACCAGTCAGATATTACTAAATTTATTCTAGAAATTGTTTGGCATAATGTAAGCTCTAATCTAACAGTGGGTGAGTAATTGGAGATTAGAAATGGGGGCAGAAGTGGAAATGACGTAATAATTGTGAAAAATGACTAGTTAATATAACTGAGTAAAGTGGACAAAAACCAGTGGAAAGATGGTAAAAGGGTTTTTATAAAATCTGTATGAAAATAATAATAACAATAATAATAATAATAATCTGGTTTATTCCAAAAACAGTACTTATAATACACAATGGAATTCTCAGCATTTGTCACAATATTGCATCTGGTTTCCTCAAAATATAAATAAAATTAAAACAGAAGAATTTGTCCGCATTTACAGTATAAAGTCAAAAATATTCGAGGTACAAAATGAGAATAATAAATATACTGATAATAATAATAATAATAACAGTGAGTTTGTTTCAAACAGTAATGACGATTCAGTTTGAAAATTTTAGCATGTTATAGAGTATTGAGTCTAATGTTCTGTTGATACAGTATGGTGAGGGGAAAGACAAAATTAACAATTATAACACAGCTTAAATGATGTTCACACTTATGAAAAAATAAACAAATAAAAACAAAAAGTTGAGAGGATTATAAATATAAGAAGTACAATAACAATAAAGGTTGATGTTATAAGGATGGATGAAATGGTTCATTTAATAGTGCAAAGAAGGTTAGTTAGTTAGTTAGTTCATGCCTAACGCTATTTTCATCACATAAAGTACATGCCGCCAAATATTGTACAGTGGAATGTTTATACTTAGACATACGTGCATAATCTCTTCTGAAAAGACTTCTTGTTTTACCTGAGGAGACACAAGGTTGGAGCTGCGAGTAAGTAGAGTGGATGCTCACAATCTGACAAGATTCCTTTAGCAAATTTGTTGTATAAAATCAAGTGCTTATCAATGACGGTGTTAACGATATGGCCCGACAGGATACCACTCGCCCTACTCACAGCTAGTCTTCAGAGTTCTACGAAGTATGACATAGTCTTTCTTAAGCAATCCAGGAAAGAATAAGCAAGGGTGAACAGTAAAGAAGAATAGGTAAGATGCACGAGTTGACAAACTATAAGAGGAGGGGTTGAGTTATACCCGACAGTGCCTTAACTTCTTAATGTAAAGAGTCAGACGAAGTATTCTTTTAGAAATCGCTAAGATATGGGGAGACCAGGATAGGTCAGAAGAAAGAATTGATCCAAGATACTTAACTTCATACTTGATTTCTATATCACTATTATCAATCTGACAATGGTCATAGGAATTAACCGCTTCATATAACTTTATTTTACATCAGAAACTGAAATTAACTGTCTGACATTTGGAAAGATTTAATTTAAGATCATTAGACAAAGACCATTTTCAGTGTCATCAATAAACAATAGTACAGGGATAGTAAAATAAGCATAAAGAGAATAATAATAATAATAACAGTAAATTTACGTAATAGAATGCAGTAAAATTATGGTAAGAACGTTACTCTGGTCATGGTAGGGCGACGGAATGTATATATTGCTTTTGAATGCAGAGGTCAAGTTTCAAATCCCGAATAACCGATGTGATTCGGCTGTGTATAAGTGACGTACCCGAGGTCCTTTCATTGTCATAATGAGGAACTTTATGTGGCAATGTGAAACAGTCTTGAAGATATCCAGAGATGACAAGGCGTTCAAGAATATAAATACTGATATTCTTCTCCTTTTCCCCTGTGGCTAGCTAGACTGGACAATGTTCGAGAATATGTTTGCAGCCGTTTGACGTTGCGCACGATCAATACTTTTCTCTCCACAGGAACAAGTGAACTGATAAATAGATGATTAGGTGGCAAATGTGGTACCTTGTCATTAACATTTCACTGAGTCAAGTGTCTGCTGCAGAATGTGTTGCATAAGGTGACTGCTTGAAATGTCCTTTCCATTTTCTTCTATATATTTGTTGAGTGATAGGTGCTTTGTCAGTATGTTCCCAAAATTTCTTGTTGCCTATTCTTTCTAGCCGGCATTTTGATCTTCAGTATGGAGCCAACGAAGGAAGCTGTTTATAAAGGTCTGTAACTACTTGTTGAGAATACTTTCCGTGACGTGTGTGCCAACTTCCTGACACATATAGAAGAACTGACTGACCGACCTTACATTCTTGTTAAAAATTCGAACCTTGTTCTTTACGCTAGCTAAGTGCAGAAGATTCCCAAACTAATTTCACAGTGTTGAAGGTTTACCTTGCCTTTCTGATTCTGCCTGGCTGGCTTTTATATCTTCATCTGTTCCAGCTGCCTGTGTTTGAAACGATGCTGCCTGGTCAGATAAGTGAATGAAGTAACGTCTTTTAATTTTCTCCGGTTGACAGTGATTTGTGGTGGCTGTTGCTGTTGTTGGTTGTGGGGTATTTTCATCACCTCCGTCTTCATTATGTTCACCTACAGTCCCATCTTCACTAATTCTTCAGTCAGTTTGTTGGTTTTTGCCTGCAGGTCTTTGAGTTTCAATGTTTATTATTATTATTATTGTTCCCTTGGGTTCCTAGTGGAACATAGGGCTTCAACTGCACGTCTCCACTTGCTTCTGTCTTGTGCTGTACTTTTCACTTGCGTCCATGTTATTCCATACTGTTTCATCTCCTCCTCACACGATCTCCTCCATGTCACCCTTGGACGTCCCACTCGCCGCTTCCCTTTCGGGTTCCACTCGAGGGCTTGACGCGCGATGTCACTCAACGGCCTCCTCAGCGAGTGTCCAATCCATCTCCACTTCCTCCTGCATATTTGTTGGGCGATTGGTTCCTGTTTCGTTTGTTCCCATAGCTTCTTGTTTGTGATTCTTTCTGGCCATCTAATCTTCAGTATGGAGCGAAGACAGTTGTTGATAAAGGTCTGCAACCTGTTGAAAATATTCTTGGTGACTCGCCAAGTTTCTGATCCGTAAAGCAAAATTGACTTCACGTTTGTATTGAAAATCCGAATTTTGTTGTTGATGGTGAGTGACGAAGATTTCCAGATTGGTTTCAGGTTGATGAATGTGTTTCTCGCCTTCCCGATTCTCGATTTGACATCCTCGTCCGTTCCTCCTGTGGTTGAGACAATGCTCCCCAGATAAGTGAAAGAAGTAACCTCTTTCAAATCCCTCCCGTTGATGGTGATTGGCACTGGATGTTGCTGCTGTTGTTGGTTGGTTATTTTCATGACCTCCGTCTTGTCTATGTTCACCTGGAGTCCTGTCTTTGCTGCTTCTTCGACCAGTTTGTCGGTTTTTGCTTGTAAGTCTTCGATTTTGTGTGACATCAAACATAAATCATCCACGCGCGAAATCCAGGTCTTCTAGGTTCTTCACGTCGGTCCAGGATATCCCTGTCTTCTCGTTTCCCACTGTCTGACGCATAATCCAGTCCACCACAATTAGGAATATCATTGGTGATAATAAGCACCCTTGTCTGACTCTTGTGTTTACTCCAAACGCCTCGCTGAGTTTTCCGTTGTGGATCACTTGACATGTGCCGTTGTCGTACAGTTGTTGAATAAGGTTGATGAATATTTGGGGTACGCCGTAGTACTCGAGTAGTTTCCAAATTACTTCGCGGTCAACGCTGTCGAAGGCCTTCTCAAAGTCTATGAAGTTGAGGTAGAGATTTGATTGCCATTCCATGCTTTGTTCGATGATAATGCGTAGAGTTGCAATTTGGTCAGAACATGATTTGCCTTTCCTGAATCCAGCTTGTTCTGGTCGGAGTTCTGTATCCAGCGCGTCCTTGATTCTCTCCAGGATGATGCGACTCAGGATTTTACTTGGCGTCGACAGGAGCATGATTCCTCGCCAGTTCTTGCAGAGTCCCAGGTCGCCCTTCTTTGGTAGTTTCACCAGGTAACCTTTCCTCCAGTCAGTAGGCACCTTTCCCTCTTTCCAGATCTTTTGCAATAATGGAGTCAGCATATCTGCCGTCGTTTCTGGGTCCGCTTTCAGTGCTTCCGGGGGTATTCCATCTGGTCCAGCTGCTTTTCCAGCTTTCAGAAGCTTGATTGCATTCATGACTTCAGTTTTCGTTGGAGGATTGGTGTCAACTTGCAGTTGTGTACGTGCTGTTGTTGGTATTACTGGACGGGTTGTAGGTGGTGGTCGATTCAAGAGTCCTTTGAAGTGGTCCGCCCATTGTTTAATCTGTCTTTCTTCTTTGGTAATTGGGTTCCCTTGGCTGTCTTTTATAGGTTTCACTTGTGTTGATCTCTTCCCGGATAGAGACTTGGTTATCTGATATAGTGTCCTCAGGTCCCTTTTGCCTGCTGCCTTCTCAGCTTCAGTAGCCAGGTTGTCGTAGAATTGTCTTTTGTCCTTCCTGGCACTCTTCTTCACTTCTTTGTCCAGTGCTGTGTAAGTTGAGCTCAGCGTCTCTTTCTCTTGTCCATCTTTGCATTGAATCATTTTTTCTTTCACCTTTCTCCTCTCCTCTATTAGTTTCCAAGTGTCTGTTGAGAGCCATTCCTTGTCTTGTTTCTTCTTTCTTCCTAAAACCGTTGAGCACGTTTCGTTGAAAATTACCTTCAGAGAGTTCCAATGGTCTTCCACGGATGATTCCTCAGTGGTGCCACGTAGTGTTTCCTGCTTTGCTCTGACAGTTGCAGTGAAAATGTCCTGTGTGATTGTGTCCTTCAGTTTTTGAGTGTTGAACTTGCATTGTGGCCTATCCCCAGCTATCCTCGAGGCTTTCAGCTTCACCTTGAAAGTCCCTTGTACTAGATAGTGGTCTGAACCCACATCTGCTCCTCTCCTCGATCTTGTGTCCAGTAGGCTCCGTCTCCACTTCCTTGAGATTGAAATGAAGTCTATCTGGTTTTTGGTGTGTCCATCTGGTGAAATCCATGTTGCCTTGTGTATATCCCTGTGTTTGAACACACTGCCACCAATCACCAAATCATTGAAGGCGCAGAAGTCTGAGAAGAGTTCGCCATTTTCGTTCATTTCACCGAGGGCCTCACGACCCATGGTGAGTTCTCTTCCTGTATTGTCTCCTCCCAGTTTCGCATTCATGTCGCCCATCAGGATTTTGATATCGCTCTTTGGGACGTTGTCCATTACTGTTTGTAGTTGACTGTAGAAATCCTCCTTCTTCTCATGTTCTGAGGCGTTTGTAGGCGCGTAGCACTGAATGATTGTAACCTTTTTTCCTTTTGAGTTGAACCTGGCTGTCATTATCCTGGAGGAGATTGGTTCCCACTGCATGAGAGCTTTAGCCGCTGTTGGTGACATCATGATGGCTACTCCCTCGGTGTGCTCGTGATTGTCCTCTGGGTGACCGGAGTAGATTATTGTCTCTCCAGTTGATAGTTGGCTCCTTCCACATCCGTTCCATCTGCTCTCGCAGATTCCCAACACTTCTATTTTATATCTCCTCATTTCTGCGGCTACCTGAGCAGCCTTCCCAGCTTCGTACATTGTACGAACATTCCACGTCCCCATCCTTATTTTTGCTCTCATCGAAAGAAGGCACATCGGCTGACTGGCTTCCCGAAGGCTTTCACCAGACCGCGTCATTTCAATTACCCGATTCCAGCGAAAAATAAGGTCACTATTTGTTATTTTAGAATATTGAAAATATTTGTGCGTTGAAGTTTTAGTAGCAATCTGGTTAAGTTTTGTGGGTGGAGTTGCTAGCACCACGCCCCAACCCTCCCTCTTTATCCGGGCTTGGGACCGGCTAGAATACTAGTGACCTAGTAATCTAGGCGAGGTTGAGTTTCAATGTTACTTAACATTAACGCGCCGTGAAATCCAGATCTTCTAGAGTCTTCTTATAGGTCCAGCCTTAACCTCGCCTAGTTTACTACCTTACTCATTTTTTAGCCGACATGGAGCTAACTACTCTACCCCGGAAAACCAAACAAGCAGATACAGAAATTCCAACGTTAAAGAAAAATATTATAACATATGAATAAATATTCTCTCTGTGTGTTTAAGTTTCTCTAGTGGTTTGAAAGATTTAATGGTGTCCGGTTGCTAGCCCCACGCCCAACCCTCCCTCTTTACCCGGGCTTGGGACCGGCTGGAAAACTACCGAGCCAGTTAACTAGTTAACACCAACTTGAAGACTTGCTGCTACTGCTGCTGGATTCAACATAGAACTTGGCACCGAGGTGCAGCAGTTTGAGTTGCCAAGTTCCAAATAGCACACAAAGGTAAACAAAAAGATGAGTGAAGAGAATCAATAGAGTTTTGACAAGTATAAGAGTGAAACAGAATGAGTAATGGTAGAAAGGAATATGAAAGATTACAGAGACTGAATACATCTGCGCCACTGACAACGATTTTGAGCCATGTCACCTATTGTCTCCAGCCATTGATTCTTAGAGTCCCGAGGGCCCCAACCCGGAAGTCTGCATCTCCCTCCCTACCTGACTCAGTTTAACTGTCAAGGATTTCATGGATTGATGAGGCCATGTTTTTGTTTGGCCACCACTTCTTACTCTTTTCCAATCTGCACCTATATCAGCTAGTAATGCCCGTCGGGGGAGGCGATAGCTGGGCATGCGCAGCACGTGACCTAACCGTCTCAATCTATGTAACTTCATAGCCTCTTCGATTGATTTTCCCTCTTTGCCGAATACTCTACGCCTAACGTCAACATTACTTACCTTATTATGCCACCTAACGTGAGAAGGAGATCGTAGACATCTATGATCAAAAACAGACAACTTTTTCATGTCTTCAACTCGTATTGGCCATGTTTCAGAGCGATAGACAAGGACGAAGCGAACTGCTGAGAAGTACACACGTCTCTTGGTTGATAGTCGGATGTCACGCCTACGCCAGAGACGGTGTAAGTTAGCGAAAGCAGTCCGAGCTTTTTGGATCCGTGCTGAGATTTCGTCACCAATCAGTCCGTTAGTGATGATACAACTCCCCAAATAGGTGAAGTGGTCAGCATGTTCTATCACTTCACTCCCTATCACTAAGCTAGGAGTTGACGTAGTCCAGTCCCGTAGCAGCATCTTACATTTCACAGGGGCGAATCGCATGCCAAACATACGAAGATTGCTGCTCAAGGTGTTCAGAAGACTCTGCATTTTGTCAGCGTCCTCCCCTAACAGGACTATGTCGTCTGCGTATTCTAAGTCCATAAGACTATTCCCTGGTAACAAGTCGATTCCTAAGTCGTTAAGTCCAGTTAAGGATACTTCCATTAGCATATCTATGATGAAGTTAAACAGAAAAGGGGAAAGTGGACATCCTTGACGGACACCACTGGTTGTTATCAATTCAGATGACAATTCCCCATAAGCCCTTACACAGCTACGTGAGTTTGAGTAGAGTGCCTTGATTAGTGCAATGTACTTTCTTGGCACTCCCTTCACAGTCAAACATAGCCGCAGTACCTCTCGATCCACGGAGTCGAAGCCCGCCTTCAGGTCAAGAAATATGGCAATTGTCGGACGCCGAAAAGTGTGTCTATGTTCTAGGATCTGTTGGAGAGTGAATGAAGACTTGCAGGCAGGTGAAAACCAGCAAACTGGCTGAAGATGCAGGCAGCGAAAACAGGACTGCAAGTGAACACAGCGAAGATGGAGGTGATGAAGATAACCAATCAACAGCAAAACAACCAGCAAAATCACCATCAGCGGGAGAGATTTAACATAGGTTACCTCCTTCACTTATCTGATTACAAAACATCGTTTCAACTACAGGCGGATGGCATGGACGAAGATGTCAAAGTCTGAATCGGATAGGCGAGATACGCCTTCACGCCAACCTGAAAACAGTTCGGAAATCTTCTGTACTGTATTCCGCCTCACCATAAAGAACACGATCCGGATTTTCAACACTGATGTGAAGTTGGTTCTTCTATACGAATCAGAAACTTGGCCAGCGTGTTACGAAAAAGATTTCCAGCAGGTTGTAGACTTCTATCATCAGCTGCCACCCACGCTGGCTGGCTGCATACTGTAGATCAAATGGCCAATGGAAAGAATAATTAACAAGAAACACTGCAGTTCAACAAAGCAACAGGCGAGAGCCGATCGCTCAACAAATATGTAGGAGAAATTGAAGATGGATTGATCGGACATACATTGAGGAGACCACCGACTGACATCGCACGCATTGCAGGCCATTTCTCAAGTGGAATCCAAATGGGAAGCGACAAGTGGGTCGCTGGTGCGAGGATGACTTGGAGGAGATCGTGTGAGGAAGAGATGACAGAGTTTGGTCCATCCTGTGGCTAGCCATCTGAAGAGGACAGCAGAAAACAGAACAAAGTGGAGATGTGTTGTAAAGCCAGCCCTATGTTCCACTGGGAATGCAAG